GTTGACCATTGCTGCTGCTGCTTTTTCAGTTCTAGACTTTTTTTTTTCAGTGTTCTACATGGATGCAGTGAATGAAACTTATTTCTGATGTCGAGGAGAAGAATAAGATCACTGAAAGACAGATATAATTACCCCATCTGAGAAAGAGTGGCAATGTGTAATTGGACAACTCTGCCACCAAACTGCTTTTTTCAATGACATCTTCATGGCTATACTTCATTAGTTCCGTACTTATTAAATCCCTGCCCATAATCTATTCCAAAGTTGGCAGAATTAAACTTTTAAGTGAAACCGCAGCATCTGACCTTACCATTTTCATATGCATTTTTAAATCATGTAAATATTTTGTTTCATCTAGGGATTTATTTATGGTGTATGGCTTCCTCCTCACACTTTTCCCTGTGCCAGCGTGGGTTCTTCCACGGGCTGCAGGGAAATGCCTGCCCCCCCGGGGGTCTCTTCTGGGGCTGCAGGGCCATCCTTGCTGGGGTCTCTCCTCCCCTCCCACCCTCCTCCCGCTCTGCCCTCGGGGCTCGCAGGGCTGTTTCTCACCCGGTTCCCCTCCCTCAGCCCTGGCTGCCGGGCAGCGTTTTGCCCTCCCTTGCCCAGGCTTTCCCCAGGGCTCTCGCCCATCCTCCCACCCGTGGCTGAGGGGCTCAGCCGTGCCCTGTGCTGGGGCTGCTGGAGCTGCTGGGACCGGCGGTGTCCGGGCAGGGCAGCCCTGGATGCTCCACAGCTCTAGCACCTGGGCAGCTGCACTCCAGTATATGGGGAAAGGATGGTTTTGTTTGGATTTATGTTCTTGTTGGTTTTTTCATTAAAGTGAGATAAAGTTTTTAGATGCTCTTAAAAAGAAAGGAAAAAAAAAATAGAGTTGAAGTCAAAACAGAATTTTGCCAACGCTGTGGAATACAGGAACCCATGAATTATTTATGTCTGACTTTCCAGTATGTTCCCAAAAGGCCAGTAGTATTTTCCCTGTTCATCTGTCTATGATCATCTAAGATTTTAATTTGATTCTCTCCAGAGCATGTATATGCTCTGACTTACAGAATCTCATCTGTGTTTTTGCGACACGGATAGGAAATACCATTGCTGTTGTGGAAATTAAATGCAGCCAACTGACTTCTAGTAATTTCTCGTCTATGGCGTACTCTGTAAAGCTGCTTAGCTTTTATTTTTCTTCTCAAACTTGCTCTAATTTTCCCATTGTTTTTAGTGCTAAGTTCCCAGGAGTGTGGTTTAAAAGGCTATCAGCCAGTTCATTTTATGAGGGAAAAAGAAAAGAATTGGGGTTACTTTTTTAGGGAAGGGAAGTCAGAGCAGAAAGAAAGGTACAGTGGTCATCATCAACATGTGGGATCGTGCTTTTTTGAAGACAGATGATGGAATAATTAGTTTTTTGTGTCTATGCTGGATAGTACAGGGAACACTAAGCTTAAATGTACTATATTAAACAGTAAAGCAAGTTTTCTACTGATAAGGCCAGTGGAGCCTGGAACAGAGTGAGGTACCTAAAGGAGACTCCAGTGAAGTAGTCTGTGCAGGACTGGTTCTGTGTATTAAATATGCAGAATGACAGGGAAAAAGACTGCCTTATCTAGAAATTTGGTAGTGGTCCAGGGGCACATAGGCCCATTTCAACTTATTTTTTTAGTTCTACAGTACTGGCAGTTTTAAGTCCCATAAAAACCTGAGAATGTCCAATTTCTTATGGTGAAGACTGAGCTAAATTAAAAGTTCATATCTGAACAGGTGCATGAGTACAAATGTGAGCTCTTACTGTGTTGGTGTTTGCTGTTGGAACACAGATTCATATTGCTGATTCATGTAGGATTTCCTTTCTGTATTATGGCATTTCTCATACAAATTTATGTAATACAAAAATGTTAAAGTGTATAATGTTAACAGTTCAACTGGATAACATCAAACTGTAGATTCAGGGATACTATCCTACTAAGTGCATTGGCTGCAATCTTTCCTCACTGAACAATGTAGTAATAAACTGAACTCATGAGATAGATGATTGAAATTACATTCTCTGTTCCAGAAGAAACATTTTAATAGAGGCACAAAGCATTCCTTTTAATGTCAGAAACATTTATTGTGGTTTTTCTGTTTCTAGATGAAGAGGACATGTACTGTGCCTTTTTATATCTTGGGGTTTTTTTCCCCTTTTAAGAATCCTGAAAACATGCAGTGGTTGCAGAATATTAGCTACTGTCCAGATTTTGAGCCTATTTGAAGCAAATACAGTTTGTTGCAGCAGCTGTTCGTGTAATCAAAATTTCTTTCCATATAAACTGATATTTGAAAAATTGTAGATTACTAAAGCAGTTATTGAAGTGTTTTTTGGTGAAAACGAAGTGTTTAAAAAAACTTACTGAAGTTGAGTGGTTAAAAGAAGTTAATAATAGCAGCAGGCAGTTGCTGCCTGTATCACATGGATGTAATTGGATGTAAATTCACATAAACTCTTTTTGTTGTATCGCTAACACCTTTTTGGTCACAGAGCAGCTTACCTATGGACCATGCAGCCTTGTGGCCTCTCTCAAATGCACTTTAAATATTTTGGGAGATTTTGTGCTAGGGCAAACATTTTGTGTAGTTCTGAACCTCCTTGGGCTGGTGTTTATGAAACAGATCCTCCCCACTGCGGGTCAGTCAGCCCAGGGGGAGCATGGGGATGAGCTAAGAAGACAAAGGGGCTTTTTCCAGAAAGCTTCTTCGCCACTGCAGGGAAAGCAGCCCTGCAGCAGGGGAGCTACTCTCAGCCAATGCGTCTGAAAGTATTTAGCAGGCGCCTCATTCACAGCTCTTGTTTTTCTTCCCACCCCAATGCAGTCTTGGAGAGGCAGCTCTTTGAGCCCTATGCTGTTGTAGTTCCACTTGTCTCCCTGGTGAGCTGCCCAGGCTGGGAAGCATGGCATCCCACCACCTAGAGTGAGTGTATGCAAGTGGGGTAGGACTGCTTCACGTGTCCTTACTCACATTCCTGAATCCTGTGGATGTTTTCAGACTTTATAGGCTATGGAGTTAATAGGAGTGCTACACTACAGTGTTTTCTGCAAATATCTCTCTTCAGAATGAACTATTATGCTACAAAATCAAATATTAGGCCACTTGTGGGTTTTTTTCAGGTAAATAGCCACACAAAAGCAAAATTATTTTTATTTCTATTATGATACTGCAGTTATTAATTTACTAAGAAAATAAAATAACTAGATTGTGTATATATATATAAATAACTAGAAGTAAAAGAATAAACGTTTATATGTGTCTGCCTATGTGTCTTTTCTGTGGTACTTTATAAAAGAGTAGCAAGTTTAATTGTATGCCACAAACTAGTTAATTTCTTGTAATAGAAGCCGGTTATTTTGTTTAACAAAACAAGAAAATGTAATTGAAATTCCTTTTAGATTGGCGTATTGGAATTGTATAGAAGTTTTGCATGGTCTACTTGTATTTCTGATGGAAGAGTATATCATCTGAGTTTTTAAAGATTAACTTCAAATAGTGGATGTGCCTGGAGAAAGGACATGACCAGCACCAAAGATTCGATATTTACCACTTTCAGTAAAATTTGCTTACAAAAATTAAGCTGTATGAAAACATGTTAATTAAAATTATATATAAACACATTCTTCAATATATAAAATAATCTAGCCTGAAATTTAGGGAGATTTTTCTTGTGAAAAATAACTGACTATTTAATAAATAATTTGTTTTTTCATCTTTTTGTCTTGCATACGTATGCCACTGTCCTGAGCTTCAGAAAGCTTTCAAAAAAGATGGGCTGAATGTCTGTTCTTGGGCAGCACTGTGGCTTCAGAGCCAAAGCTTTACAGAATGTCATCTCCCCTTCTTTTAGAGCTCTAATTTCCATGGCAGACTGATAGGGGGATGCTTGATCTGGGTGTGGAATTTTATATTTGTTTTTACCATCTGTCCTTTCCCACTCTTTTCAGTCTGATCACTTCTTCCAGAAAAGTTATATTTTGTATTTTAGCAGAATAGGGCCAAGGCAGGAGTTTTGTTGTTGATGTAAATGGTGAGTGCTGTGCACATATGATCCCTCTGACGTGACATCCCTCTGAATACCCCCACTGCTCTTTAGGAGGAACATCCAGCTGGCAGCCTGTGGGCCACTTCTCTTCCACAGAATAATTCTGGCTGGCTTCCACAAGAACATGATTTTATCCTAATGTGTCTGCACATAACCATGCAAGCTGACACTCTGCTCCTTTACTTCTAGAATGTGACACGATGTCTGCCTCTAGAGATGTGCCTGTAGTAATATTTAAACAGAGATGCAACACTATAGGTTAGCCTTCAGAAAGATAAATCATTCCATAGTCATACCACCATTTTATTCTTTAAAAAAAAAAATGCTAGAAATGCCTTCAAGTGCTGAGATTCTTCTCTTTCTTTTTTGGTAAGAGGTCTCAAAAATAGCTTTTGAGACTGGTGTGTTGTTTTTCTCAAAAATACTCTGACAAAATATTTTTAAAATCACCTTCTAGACCAGGAGAAAGGAATTGTTAGTTACCTGAGCTTAAAATACAATACATATTAAATAGTCACACGGGTTAGTAAGTCAACACTAGATAACTTGTATTTCTCTCATGTATCATTTGTTGGTTTTCTCTTTGCAAAGCCTTTCATGATTCATTACTTTTATGATACTGTAATTTTATGCTGCCTGCTGCCACTAGAATACTATACAAAAATCATAACTATAAATTATTTGAATCCTCGCCAAATGTACTGATGGTTAATATTTCAGAGTAAGACTGGAAGATAATTTAGTATTTTGTTTTATAATTAATTTAGAAATAGTTTTAGTTTTAAATAAGCCGTATATTTTATAGTACAGAACAGAAGCATATTCTACAATTTTTTCCTTAAATGAGTGTTATTATTCTTATATGTATATGATTTCTGATATTTATCAGCTTTATAATAACAAATTCATTGTTTTACTTTTCCATAAACTGCAGAAACTATGCCTGTTCCAGAACAGCCCTCGTCTTCTGACAAGGCAAGTTCCCTTAGTCCTGTGTTGAACACATCCAATGGCGATGGCTCTGAAACCGAGACAACTTCTGCCATTCTAGCTTCAGTCAAAGAACAGGTATGTAAATGATGCATTTGCTATCTAGAAAACAATATGATTTACTGTTGGTTTGTGGTTTTGGTTGGTTTTTTTTTTTTCACAAAGATTTCATAGGTGGTACCTGAATATGTTAGTTCACAAGCGCGTATTGCAAAGAATGTGAAATATTTCTTCATGTGTTACTATACCTTTGTATAAATTTAATATTATTTAATTGAATTGCTTGTAATATTCTCCACTTTCACTCTTTACTGTGGGGGTTGGTTTTCAGATATCTCTCCTTTTCTTCTTGGAAGTCTGAATGTGGAGTTAGAGTATACAGGCGTAACATAAGAGCTACAGACAAATGAATAGTTGTAGAGAAGATGTGTTATCCTAGACTTTTTAAAGGATTTGTAAGAATTCTGGGATTTTAAAATTTAACATACGCACGTTTTTGGTTTTTTTGTCTGTAAAACTTAATGTGAGATTATTTCAGGGCAAAGTTGAGTAGTGATAGAGGTTTCCAGCTCTGGATGATTGAACCCAAAAGTATTAGAAATTTTCAAAAGAAAAGTTTTCAGAGTCATTCTCAGCTTGATGCTAATAAGACGGGTTTGGACTATTTAAAGTAAATTTTTGTGTGCGAAGTGTCAGAGATTTTGCCTTTTTGTACATCAGGAGGTGGTTAACATTTCAGTTTATGCAACCAGCTGGTCTCTGTTGCTATTTCATTTGGCTCAACAGCATCAACAGGTATCCCAAAGAGGGATATTAAAGATGGCTGCTTTTAGTCAGCTTTCTCCTTGTTGAAGGTGTCTGAATTGGTGCTCACATTGTAAAGTAGTGATCTTTACCTGCCTGAGACATTTACTGTGCCTTTAGTTAAATTAATGCATGAATTCAGCTTATGATATATAACAACTCTGGAAAAATAGCTATTGAATAGCAGAAATTTTATAAAAATTATGGCATCATGCGGTTTTTTGCTGTATACCAGTTCTCTCTTTTGGGTGGTAAAGGTTAGTCATATTTTCTGTTCTGAAAAGAGGAGTGCAAGAAAGAAATGTTGTAACACGGAGTTTTGTCTTGAGATTTATGATGCATCATATTGATAGTGCCCATGGTTTAGATGTTTGTATGCATATTCTCTTGCACGATAATAACGTTACTTGGGCATGTACTAGTGTTTCAGCCTGTGTTACAGTTTATTTTATAGAAAAAGAACTACCTTGTGTGATGTTGAAAAATGGACAGAGAAATTACAGAGGTAGAAGATATGTGTTGGAATGTAAATCACAGTACTGAACAGTGAGAAGTACTTCTCTGGTGTTGGGTATTGTGATGATTGCTGGTTTATACCTGGTCAAGTGTTTTGCAAATGCACCTCTCAACCCCCAAAATCAACGGATTGAGTACTAGAGGGAATCGGTGCTGAATCCACTAGATGAAAAATATTTTAAGTGGTAGAATATTGGCAAAGTTATTTCTGATTCCTGTGAACCACAGCAAAAAGGAGCCTGTAATAAAGGAGTGCTACATTCTCTTATCACCAGGAATAGCCGAGCTAGCTAACCTAAGGTACTGCTGACTTAAAAGATAATCTCTTGAATTATTGCAGTTCAAGGTAGCAGAATTTTGCAGGTGTTCTGTTAAGTGGACTTCTTTCTTGACAATTATCTCTAGTAAGACCTACCTTGAAGCTGGAAGACTGTAGTAAGCTCAAAAATCAGACTTTATTTTTTTTTAATATTTGAATGTATTTCTCAGAGTAAATGGTGACTTCAGTAATTTGACTTATTATATTTATGTTCAGCCACACTCACTACTGGGAAAGCCCTGTAACTCTAATACTCATTTATTTTATAGTAAAACTTTGAAATAAAAATAATAATAATAAAAATACACAACAAAACCCAAGCCTGCTTTTGGGCTTTTACTTTTCCCCACAATACTGTGAGTTTTGACACACTGCCATTATTCAGTGTTCTATTGTGAAAATTCTAGGTAAGGCTACCATATGATTGTTCAAATGGATAGTCCCCTGCTTTTTAGAAGGAAATGATTTGCTTTACTGTGTGGTATGTGATTTTGCTCTGTGTGCCCATTTACTGTAGCCAAAGACATACCTAGAATTCTGGAAGTATAAACAGATACAGTTGTTCAAAAGTACTGCTAATAAAGGTAAATATTATTGAGTTCATAATTAAGGTGTGTTTCGACAAATCAAGTATGTTACATTTTCTTCATCTGTGCTGATGCTTGTCTTTAAAAGGTTTCCTTGAATTTGTTGACTCTCTAGGAACACTTGGGGCAACTTCAATTGTTACTTCTCCTAAAATAACTACAACACTGTCTTTGAGTGATGGCAATAGAGTAAACTGTGTTATTTATGATACTAATGACTGTAAAAGGTGTTTGCAGTCTTTGAAGAGGGCAAGATACATGAAAGGCACAGAGAAGTAGTAATAAATGTTGTATGTATATGCTCTACTTAAATTTTCTATGTGAAACATAAATGATTCATTCAGAAAACTCAAAGTTTGTTGTGCTTAGTTTGTACGCATATCCCTGTGCTGTCCTATTTTGAGGAACAGATTAGTTTGGTCTAAAAAATTCATTGGGTCAAAAAATTGTGCTTGATATGTCAAATGTAAAGTGACATACCTGATTGTAATGGCTCAATCAGATGGTTTAGCCACATGCTTTTCAAGGTGAGGATGTCTGTCAAAATAGAAATTGAAGCCTGTGTTTGTTGTTGAGGAATTAGATTTATTTTGGGAAATGCAATTGTGGAACACCTTACTTTACAGTATAAGCTATTTTATTTGTGTTTTAACCTCTGGACAGGTATGCTGATTCACTTTTGGGTTTCAGACTTTATAAATGCAGTTGAGAAGTGATAGATACAGAACATGAAATGATTTTTTATCCCTTGCTGCTAACTTTCCTAAAGTTAGCAGGCACTGTTGGAGGGAAGGTCAGAATCATATGCCATATGTCTAAGAAATCATGAGATGACAGACAGTGACCTTTGGCTTAGCTGTTTTCAAGCAATCCTCATGAAAAGAAATTATTAATAACTTCTGTGAAAGTAAAAGGTTTGTTTTGGGGTTTTATTTTGTGTTGGTTTTGTTTGTTTGGGGTTTTTAGACACTATCAAGTTCTTTAAAGAGAAATCATCAAGTAGTGTTTTTTATTTCTTGTGATATACTGGCAGACATATTTCGCCCAATGCTTCACAGATTTTAGAAAACATAAGGCTATTTCTGTTTCTGCTTTGTCATCTGTTTTTGTATTTGTAAATATGGGAAAAAAAATTTCAACACAAAAGTGAGGTATCAACACTCTGATTTGTGAGGACATATGTGATAGATACAACTACTTCTGCAGAAAGAATGATGTGTTTCTGATTGGGAGTTTCCACCTGTGAAAGAAACTTCTGAATCCACTTGTTAAAAAACATCCTGGAAGGAGAGCTATTGATGATGCTGTTTTGAAGGTAGAAATAGCTGCTGGGGAGCCTTGTGAGTTAATATGTATTGAAGCTGATGCTTTTCCTGGAGGTCTCCAGACATAAATGGTTCACAGTACTTTGGTTCTTGGCATACAGAAACTACTCCCTTGGAAGATGACTAGGATTGTAATGACTTAGCAGAGGCTTGTTTTGGCAGATTTAAAAAAAAAACAAAAACAAAAACAAAAACAAAACACTTGCAAAACACGAGATAAATTAATTCCCCAAGAGTGAAATCCATCTTGAAGTATGGACAGCTATATTCAATTCAGAAATTGTATCATACATTTGTTTTAGTTTCTTCGGGACTCTAGATTCTTTAGCATCTTAGTAGTGACCTGTTTCAGAGAACAGCTTTCCCTTTCAGAAGACTTTTGCAAAGGACAGGTTGTGCAATGTTTAATATTTCTTTTGAATTCTCTTATATATATACTTATTTCAAATAAACATACTTGTTTCCAGTTGCATATTTTCTTTACTTTTTCCTTTGCAGAAAAAAATTTAGACTTCAAGATTTTTTCAATATTTCTCACACTGTTTAAATAAGTAATATGTTCTTTAAATCATATTGCTGATTCCAGAGAAAACAGAAGTCTTTGGCTTTTTTGTTGCTGGTGGCTTTTGGGTTTGGGTTTTTGGGGTTTTTTTTGGCTTTATAAGACTTGTATGTTTTTCTAAAGTGACTTATGTTACTTTTAAATATGTACTGTTTTTTTCTATTAGAAAACTACTTGTTTGTCAAGAAACTGTGACTTGAAACAACACTAAAAATCACATTCAAGGCAGTAATTACTGAAGGTTGTAATGCATGTCAGTATTAAATAAGGGTAGTATAACTGACTTAAGTAAACTTCTACATTAGGTATTAGTACTCTTTGGAAACAGGGTTATGTATGCCATGCACATCTTATATATATGTATATAAAACTGCAGATAGAAATGGCTGTAGAAGTTGGAAATTTGGATTTTTTTTTTTCTCTATCAGGTTGTTTTCCCTATGTCTTTATATCATGACTGAAGTTTTAGAAAAAAATCACATACCTAGATGGATGTTTCAATTCAGAAAAAAATTTTTGAGGCTTTAACTCCAGAAGAGACTTGTGAAATAAATCATCTAATCTGCCCAGCAGGACGTGACATTTCATACAGTCACCCAAGTATTGGGCCCCAGGTCTGACCACAGAATGACATATGCTCTCTTTTCCCAAATGTAATGCATACCATATTATAATACATATATTCACCAAAATAAAATCCTGTTCTTGCACTGTAGGAACCAGTCATTACTCTAGTAACATTAAGTACTTGACAGGTTTTCCAAATAGGTTCAATTATGATATATTCATGTCTTTCTTCCCCTCGAACAGCAGGCTCTATTTCTGCCTTTAAAAGTTTTAGCAGCTCTATTTCAAACCACTGCTAATTATATTCAATCAATATGTATTTCTTTCATAATCTCTCTTAAGTATCATACCAATATATTCACTTCCTTAGTTATAGAACTCCCTTTTTTCCTATCAGG